CTTGTGGGTCTTCCTACAAAGTCACACTTACACTCTCATCATATACTTCAGTATTCAATTAAAAATTATATGTTAACCAAAGAAACAGGTGACTCTTGCTTATTATATATAGTTACTTGTATCACGTCGCAAAGCTGTAGATCAGTATGGATCGATCGAATACGCTTGCATCAAATCATGTATTGGTAACGTTGTTCATTCAATAATCGACATATCTCAATATTCGGATTCTTACTTGCCTGGTTTCCTACCGATAATGACAGATTCTTCTCAAGAACAGAAAATAAATCAGAATTTGATGAGTACCATTGATCACGTTGCATTTGCTATGTCACGTAATTCAGCTAAAGTTGTCATAGAATGGTATGAAAATGTGCTGGGCTTGAAACGCTTTGTCATTAATCAGTAAGTTAAGATGAAAGAAAAAGATTGATTCTTTTATCTATACTCATGTTTCTTGTTTAGAGAAGACGATCCATTTCAAGGATTCACTGTGCGTGTTGGTTCTATGGGTATGCGCATGTTTCAAGCGTCTATTGGAAATGTTCTGAGACTGGCTGTGGTGATGCAGTATCAAAGCTAAAATTTGTTTTTGCCGAGTCACTGATTGATCCAGTTTCAGGTACCTAACAAATATTCATGTTGATCTAAAGAAATTTTGAAACATCACTTTCTTCTATAAGACTCACCAGATCAAATTACAACGTTTATTACAAGGTATAATGGTCAACCAGGCCTACAGCATGTTGCATTCACATGTACCAATAGTATTAAAGAAGTTGTTCGTTTGACAAAAGCTAATGGTACTCAGTTTTTTAGTCCATGTTCTAGCTATTATTCTCAAGTATGTCGACTATGCTTAGAACTATTATCACTGATACATATTAATACATTTTTCTTCTGAAGGAGAACAATGGTCTGGTGATTGAAGCAGCAGGTGAAAATGTAGCTGAGCTATGCGAGTTGGGTATTTTGCTTGATGATGAAGCTGACAATTGGAAAACAGAGAACACAATGTCGAAATTATTGACCAGGTATGTTTATGAATTGTCATTAAACGATACACTGTTTGATGTGGTTGCTGTTATTGTTTAGAGTTCTTTTACAAATATTCACTCGATCGATCTTTGACAATGATACATTCTTTTTGGAGCTCATTGAGCGACGTGGCGCAAGTGGTTTTGGAGCTGGTAATGTGCGAACTTTATGGCAAATCGTTCAACGACAGAAGAATCATAATGGTTAATTTTGACTTTTAAAGATCTCGTGTAAATCACATTTCACATGAAATCAAAGCACCATTTGTCAAACTTCATTAAAAGGAATAATCGGAAATAGTGAAAACATTTCTCTCTCGTTTTTATCTTCACATTATCATTAAGGCTATTAGAAAAGATTGAGCAGTTCATTCTGATTTGATGAGAAACTACGATGAGAAACTTTTTATGTCGAATATCGGAAGAAATGAGAAGATATCGAGGAAAATATCGACATTGAATTCAAGCATTTTCACTGTGTTGCTTCTTTTGAAGAATCTATTTTCAATTGTTAACAGATGCATACTATTGATAGTCCTACTATAAACCAAGATCTTGGGGAATCGAGAAAAAAGACTAATGTTTTCTACTTCGCTGAAAACAAAAGACTCATATATCTTGCAACTGAAGTGGCATTTTGTAGAAAGTGATTTGGTTAAAAGATAACTCGTCAAAAAACTCTTTTCCGTGGTATTTGATTTGATCGAAGACATGCCATCAAAATTTTCCGTTACCACGTTCCTTTCTTCGTCATAACTATGTCTATCTGAAATGCATATGCCTGCATGACAGTCGATCTCAATACAATTAAATGTTTTGCTCGAATGTATGTCCATCCTAAGGAATCATTCAAGTATTACATCATCAAATTTTTGATCATTTTGACCTCCTACTCTCCCTCGAATAATCAAATATCATATTTTTGTGGAGCTTTCCTCCCTTGATTACGTAATCTATACAATATTTTTTCTTAATCTGCAAATGATTTGAAAAGTCACGAATGCAAAATCTTGGGTTGGCAACGAAGTTTTTGCATTTTTTAAAAGAAATTCATTGTATTTTTCAGCCACAAAAATACAACTAACGAGGGAAGGGCCCAACTGTCCAATCGCTTTTGAGCCGAGACTATGTGCATTATGTAGACCCAAATGAGTTATGAATACCCTGAAAAAAGTTCGGGCCGCTAGCTCTTGCTACGGAGATAGTGTACTTTTACAGTATTCTTTAAAAATGAATGCTGTGGTCCCTCTCAGGGACACTAGAAAAACTGATTTTCGAATTTCGACTTGAAATTTTGGATAGAGACAGATCTTAATCAGAATAGTTTATTCTGAATGTTTCTAAGATTTTTTGCATCTGCTTCTATCCTAAAATAAGAACATCAAATCTGCCAGTTTATATAGACAAGTTATTCATAACTGTATCCTAGGATAGAAAGGGCGAAAAAATCTGAAATATTCACAGCAAACCATTCTCATTAAGGTCTGTCTCTATCCAAAGTTTCAAGTCGAAATTCGAAAATCAGTTTTTCTGTATTCCTGAGGGGGACCACGGCATTTATTTAAAAATACTGTAAAAGTGCACTATCTCCGTAGCAATAAGCTAGCGGCCCGAACTGTTTTCAGGGTATTCATAACTCATTTGGGTCTACATAATGCACATAGTCTCGGCTCAAAAGCGATTGGACAGTTGGGGCCCTTCCCTCGTAAGTTTCAATAATGTAGGCTCCATTATTATCTATGGATTGTCGCCAATACTCTGGAAGAGAAAGGATTCCGTGCTCGTATAACTCCCGGGACTTTTAGCTGAAGAAGTTGCCAAGATTCATTTTGAGGTCGTGTTTTTCATCGAATTTTTTCCACGCAAATGATTGGCAAGAGCGTGGAACAAATGGTAGTCAGTGGGAGCCAAATCTGAAGAATACGGTGAATGTGGAATCACAGTCCATCCGAGCTCCGATACTTTTTTACACGTTGACTTTGCAATGTGATGTCTGCCCGGTCAGACAAGAATTTGAAAAAACGCGTTTAAACGTACCAATCGAGAACCGCGATTATGGCCAATTCACACCAATTAATAAAACGCAAGAAACGCGTTTTTTTTCGCAAAATTTTCACTTTCAGAGCGTGAAAATGGCGAAAAATTCAAAAACTCAAGTTTAAAACGCATTGTTTTTAAATTGTAAGAATAAAACTGCATTTGACGCTCGCATTATTTTTACATCCTAAAATAAAGGGTATTTTAACGCCCATTTTGTTGGATTTTTTGCCATTTTCACGCTCTGAAAGTGAAATTTTGCGAAAAAAACGCGTTTCTTGCGTTTTATTAATTAGCGTGAATGTGCCACAATCGCGGTTTCCGATTGGTACGTTTAAACGCGTTTTTTCAAATTCTTGTCTGGCCGGGTGGTGTTGTCATGTAAAAAGTACACCTTATCCTGCTTTCCCTGGCATTTTGCTGCAATTCGGTCCAATTGCTGACATTAGAGATCAGCTATAATAGTGCTACTAGTTGAAAGAAGCTCCCAATGAAGTACGCCTCTTACTCCCCACCAAACGCTCAACATAACCATCGTTGGGTGGAGTTCATTTTTTGGCGTTGCTATACCACTTTGTCCAACACCAAGCTATTGTTACTTGTGCATGTAGTTGACACACATCACCCACTTTTCATCGCCGGTAATAAGATTGCGGAGCCATTCGTAGTTGCGGTGAGAATTCAGTAGTTCCATACATTCGTTGACCCTGTGTTGGAGCTGAAATGGTGACAACTGGTGAGGTATCCAAACTAAATATTTCCACGTCCTGCCTAATTCTCTCAGATGTTTTTCTACCGTAGTATGAGAGCATCGAAAACGTTCTGCTAGACAGCGTGTAGTTAATCTCGGTTCTTCTTCGATGAGCTGCTTTAAGACGTCCATGTCCACCTCCATCGGCCTTCCGGAAGGAGATAAATCGTAAAGTTCGAAGTTTCCGTTCTTAAATCAATTGAACCAATGTTGCGCTGTAAAAATGGAGAGTAAATCCTTATCCACCGTACTGCATAATTTGCTTCCTGCTTTCGTCGGTTTGCGGACCAAACGGAGTTCTTGAAGTAAAAGCACTGGGAGCTGCCTATGAGAAATCTCTATTTCTAATTGGAAACCAGCTTCTTTACTCACAGTTTTGGTGTTGTTTGCAAGACATTCGTGCCCTCTTTATATATCCTAAGTATGAAAACTTCTAGAAGTTACGCGAATTTGGTAGAGAATTTTAAAAAAACGCAAAAACTTTGTTGCTAACTCAATATATATATATATATTTATTTTCACTTATTAATTTCACAATTAATTAAGTGAAACAAAAATCAAGAAATAAAAAAAATAAATATAAGTGAGAAAAAGAACGATACCCAATGAGATTAAAGTTCAACGAAATCTGTAGCTAACAAATCAAGAATATTTTTTAATTAGTGACACATCATTTATAACATTCCTTTCATTTCTAAGGATAGTATTATTTTGGTTCTTTTCTTCACTTTCATTCAGGGTTGCCAGATCTTCTAAAATGACAGAAATAATTCCGAATTTTGACTTTCTTCCCGAAGATTCTCCGAATTTCCGAATTCGGCTGTTTTTTCCGATTTTTTTTCGAATTTTGAGATTTTCTAAATTTTGCTTTCTTTATAAGATTTATTGGTCATTAATGCGCCATCTCTTTTCTTACATAACGATTGGATAGTCTTTTGCTTTAAGAACAATACTTTCATTGTCGACACAGTACTTTTTACATGTTATCTTAAATCTTAAATCTTAAAATTTAAAACTTAAAACTTAAATCTTAAATCTATCAGATTATGAGCTAAATGAAATACCTAATATTTAAAAAAAAGTATTAAGAATAATAGATTTTCTACAGGATCAGCTGAATTCCTAGTTTGAAAGAGGATGTTGCTTTCTTTAATAGTTCCTAAGTTTTAGATTTAATGATGGATGATAAATCAAGTAATTCAGATATGAGTGTCGGTGCAATTGAAGAAGAACAAGAAACCATTTCTGCATCAATTCGTACATTAATAGAAACAATATCAGTTGCTCACAAATTGAAGACAAAAAAGGTGTTTTTAAGAAAGATTGGCTGAGTATTGAAGCATACTTCTCTTGGTTACAAGAAGTGAAAAATAATTATTCACAAGCTCGATGTTAAGCGTGTTTAAAATTATTTAGTGTTCGATATGATGGCAAAACGGCTTTAAAAAAACATATGAATATTGATTTTCATAAAACATGTATAAAATCCTTTTGAAACAACTCAATGATTGTTCTTCCTGTACCTTGAATAAGTGAATTACAAAAGGTTTCAGCAACAGAAGTTATACTTGTGTACTACGGTGTTCAACATGGTCATAGTTATATATCTCAACAATGTAGAATAAATCTGGTCAAAAATCTATTTGAAACAAACTCAACAATTGCCAAGTCTTTATCATGTGCTAGAACAAAATCAAGAGCTATTGCTTGTAACGTACGTATTCCATATTTTACACGTTAAATTGTTGATGAAGTACTAGAAGCTCGTTTTTTTTCAATATCATTCGATGCTTCAAATAAAGAAAATATTAAAGTTTATCCATTTGTTGTTCAGTATTTTTCCGATGTTCGTGTAAAGAGAGATAAAAACTCATTGTTTGAAATTTGGCGCTCATATTTCAGTTAAATATAATTTTTCTTTATTCAGGTCTTCTTGATTTTCTTGAAGATTCACGTGAAACAGCACTTGATATATTTAATAATGCAATTAAAGTTATTGAAAATCATCAATTACAAATCCAGAATTTGTCAAGTATTGGTGCTGATAATGCAAATATCAATTTGGATGAATATCATTCAGTATTCAAATTGTTCAAAGATCGTTTCCCTAATATTTTTAAAGGTAAACAAAGTGATTAATTATTTCATATTGATTCCGAAAATTCTTGGGCAGCAAATTGTTTATTTATTTTTTTTCGCTTTTAGGAAATTGCTATTCTCATATATTTCATGTTAGTGTGAAACATGCACATGATGAATTATCAATTGATATTGAACTTACTTTGTGTAAATTCTATTCATACTTTTCCAAGTCAGCTAAACGTGTTGAACAATTAAAAGCATACTATGATTTTGTAAATTTAGAATATAAAGTAGGTTATATGAAAAATAAACGTCAAAATAGATACTGGAAAAAATCATATAAAAGCCATGCCTTTTTAGGTTTTATTGGAACACATAAGCATACGATGGTTGAGTTTATTACCTTCACACTCTAAGTTAAAATGTGTCGACTTTTTCCGTCGTGACTTATAGTGTCGTGCGTTCCAGCAAGAAAATGTGTCGCACTTTAATGTGTCGCATTTTTAACCGTTCTGTACATATATGACGACTGTTCATTCACCATATTGTTTCGCGTGTATATCTTCATATAATCGATCTGAAGTATTACATGAGAATCACAAGTTTTCGTGCACCATTTTATATAATATATTTCTCGATTATATATTTCTCGTAAATATTTGGAGAAATAATGACCTCGCTTTAGGAGAGGTCTAGCTGGCAGTAGTCTGACCAAGATCTGACTAGCCGTACATGGCTGAATCTCAAGATCTGGCTGTTTTACAGTATTGTATCAAACACTGATGTTAATTGTACTAATTACAAATTGATGGATATAATGCATGAAAGAAAAAAATATACTTAGGGCATACCAAAAGTTCGTAGAGTGATACCTTAATACCTTATAATAAGCTTTAAGTAACTTTCTTTCTATATAGTCTGATAGAGAAAAAAAAGCTCTATCTTTCTATGCTATTTGATCATATTTCAATTAATATCATAATATTAAATTATCTATTAAACCTATTTCGGCTGGTTATGTGCTGGTTGTATGAATGCTAGTGAGTATTTTTTTGAATAACTTTTGATGGAAATAAGATAGAGAAATGCGGTTTTCACCGTTAGAAAGAGGAGATGAAAGTGCATCGAATAGCATGTTGCAGGTCTTTCTAATATTAATTTCTGAAGTATTTTTATTCAACTTTCTAACTGCCGGAAAAATGTTTTTTTTCTGTGAAAAAAGGATAAAGCACAAATGTGAGCCTTTTCCACAGATTTTGCTATAAAATCATATTAGAGCTCGACTAGAATGCATAGTATTCATCTCAGCCTTCTGCTATACGTAGATCTTTGATTAGTGCTTTGAATTAATATTGACAATTGAAAATTCACTGTAAACAACTTACCAGATAAATTTGTTGCTAAAAAGATCAATTGAAAACTGTACAAAAAACAGATTAGGAAAATCGTGAATAAACGATTCGATGCGTCTTTATCTCCTCTTTCTAACGGTGAAAACCACACTTCTATATCTTATTTCTATCAAAAGTTATTCAAAAACTACTCACTCGTATTTTTTTAAAGAGTGTTAATACAACCAGCACATAACCAGCCGAAATAGGTTTAATAGATAATTTAATATTATGATATTAGTTGAAATATGATCAAATAGCATAGAAAGATAGAGCTTTTTTTTCTCTATCAGACTATGTAGAAAGAAAGTTACTTAAAGCTTATTATAAGGTATTAAGATATCACTCTACGAACTTTTGGTATGCCCTAAGTATTTTGTTTGTTTTAAATAAAAGATATCAGATGACAAAAAGATGAAAGAAGAAAAAATGAATTCATCTTGTACCAAAAAATATCGTTTTCGCACGGTCGCAAATTGGTCGCTCAAATTCTTGTTCATTTTGAAAACAAAAATTACAACTATAAAATTAGCTGTCTTATGTAAATTGTAGAGCTTTTCACGCTGCATCTTGTGATGTATTTTGTTTCTTAATACAACGTATTAAGTAATGGAAACATTTAATCTGTTTCACCCGTTAGTGAAGTTTTACACAAAAACAGTTTTTATCGAAATTTCATTATTATGATACCAGCTGAATAGGGATGAAATAGCACAGAAAAATAGAGCTTCGTTTTCTCTATCACCTCATAAAAACAGAAAATTCCATCAAGCCTTCTATACGAAATTGAGATGCGACCGCCACTACTTTTGGGTACCCCTAAGTAGTTATGAAAAGCAAATAAATTTTGAAATTAACAAATTTTACTGTTTGTGCAGATATTGAAGATGCTTTATGTGTCTCCTCATTCTGGAATTCATTTGGTCTTATTGAAATTCGACCACAAACTAATAACTGCGTAGAAGAATATCATGATTAATGAAATTCTCATTCTTAAACACATTGAGATCTTTTGACTCCGATAAAATATATTCAGGAGGCCAGAAAACTTAACAATGATTAGAATTGCACAAGAATATTCTCAGCAACATTCGAAACATCATAAAAGAGGAAGGTCGGTAATAAATAAAAATATATTGATACAAACAAGGAAAACATAGTTAGATTGTCTAAGGAGTGTTAATAGTTACCCAGAAAAAAGAGTGAGTCTTTTTGTTATTGATTTATGAAGATACTCGATATAAATGAGAAGAATGATCTTATTTATGAACCTAATAAAAACTAGATATTCAATTATCTTTTAGTGATGATTCTTTCTGTATTTGTTTCCATATAATAAAGGTTGTTTTGATTTCACAATGCAGCTATTTTTGTCATTCTGTTCCTTCGATTCTATTTTGCTGACATTTTTCCATAATTGGTCAAAAAAATAGTCTCTGTAATGTAGATGTAAGCGCTTTCTTATCCATAAAGCTCAAATTAATCATTGTTTGAAATGTAAATGTCAAAAATTCCCTGCGTGAAAGTTGAATTGTTGATTGTACTTCGTTATATCACATGATAAATTTCATAACTTAGACGCGTTTGTTCTTGCCGCTTCTTCACGCATATTGATATTCTTTTCTTTTTTCGTTTTTTTTTCCCCTCTTTATTTCCTTTACAAGAATCTAAGTCTAAGACTTTACGATTCTTGTGGAAATGTCTGCCACAAATAGACAGTCCCATGATTTTATTGATCAACAGGAACAAGTGTACAACTCTGATGAAAACTCTCGTGTGTATGTATTGATGAACAATGTTCCATTTACTGCGAATAACGAAATATCACAAGAACAACAATCAGCCTATTGTAATGCTCCATCGAATTACTCATCGAACAGCAATCCACAAGCATTTTTATACCAGCACCAATTGACAAACAATCAAATGGTTCAACCGTCCTCATTAGTTCGTTTTACACCACAGCATCATCAACAACAGTCATTACCATCATCTACCAATATGCCTCCTTCTCTTTTACATCCGTCGATGGTACATTCCAACATGAATCAACAACAAACATTTGCATCTACATTCCAACCATCCGTTAATATCACAGCACCAATTCCATCATTAATGACTAATCCAACAGGCTCATCAACCTCAATATCAACACAGACAAAAAGAGGTCGCACAGATATCAGTAGTGCTTCAGAATCAAGTATACAGTTAGGGTGTGGGTGTGGGTGTGGGTGTGGTTCTTTTATTACATTCACAGTCCACATCCACACCCCACACCCACATTGAATTTATTGCTTTCTAAGATAGCAAATAGTAGAAGTTATTCAGGCTCGAATATATATTATCTAGAAAAATTCACTAAATAGATTCGATATAGAAGAAAATGTTTGTGCAGCTCATTGACATTATCGATTTATTAGACGATTGACGTTTTACACCCACCTATAGACAAATTATCTCAACAACAAAAAAAAGTGTTTCTAATCGAACGTACGGGCAGGTTCTGTGCGTAGTTATTTGCTCCGAAACGAAATTGTTGCTTATTATTATTAAATAAAAGAAAGAAATTGAATTTTGTAAAGAATTTTTCTGTTAGGCTTATAAAATATTCTATTGAATATTGTTTTTTAAATAAAAATCGAATATACTCTAATGAGATAAATCAAATTCTCATCTCTATTTGTCAATTGTTAATCGTTTTGAAATCTATCGAATAAATAAGTTCAAGGAAAATGTTTTCATTGAAAAATCTAACCAAATGTTATTTATATAAAACATTGTTTATTAATCAAAACATTCCTTCTATTCAATTGATTCAGAGACGACTTTATCAGTGGATTAGAAAACAAAGTCCATTCGTTTTTCTATAGTCAACGATTTTTCCTGTTATTAACGATATCTCAATAATGATTCATAGATATATAATCGTAGAACGTTGAGTTAGAACGAATGATTCTATTGATAAGAGGTGAAAATTTTTATATATTTGTTAAATAAGAAGAGGAGCCTATAATTAAAATACTTCTAAAATAAATTGTTCTTCTAGATCACCTCATAAGTCGTATATCTTTTTCGGATACGAATTTTTCTTCAAAGACACGAATAAAAAATAAAGAATAGAAACTTTGTTGGTAGAAGAAATTGAAGGAGAGAGAAAAAAAAAATTCTCGCTTTCGTTTTATGCGTTTCGATCAGAGTTTATGGTAGGTTTTGTTCCTATTGAGATTATTTTGTTAATATGTTACTGATGATAATATAGAATTTGCTAAAATATCTCTTTCAACGTTTTCCTTATTATCTATTATGTTAAGATGTTAACAACAGATACTTTTTATATATTCGTTTTAGAATATTTCATATATATCTCGAGCACTTTCTTCAATGACGATACTTTGAATCAATCATCTTTTTTCATTAGAATATATTTATCTTATTATATTAAATTCAAAAGGAGAATTATACATGTTAAACGTTGAACGGTCAATTCAATATTGATTTCAACACTTTCACTTTCAATATGAAATCATTCTGAACGAACAGGACGATTAAAACTTCGGACCTATCTATCATCAGAATAGTGTGCCTATGGCCAACGGAGTTTCATCCATGATCAGTAATTGAAAACAAGCAATAGGTCTTACCAGAGCAATGCATCTTTAGCTTGTTTGCCTGATCTGTGATGCCACTAGCATTGCAAGTGACGGAAGCAAACTGGTTAGGATATGTCAGAATTCTTCATTTATTTTTCAAGGCTTATTAGACGTCAAATCAATTACAAACAATATCTTAAAATCGAAACTCTAACAAAATAAAGAGTATATAGCAACAAAAAAAATGATTTGATCATAGATAGATAGACGATCGAATAAATATTAACGGATATATGATGTGTAAAGTAGATGTTTACTAGAGAAGCATTAATTTAACATCATTATTCTATTCACTTTTTATATAAATTCAATTGAATAATCAAATCTATAAGCATTTCTAATTTTTTTTTTAAATCTCTCATGTGTGTTTCAATTTAGACGAAAATAATAATGAAAAAATATATTAGCATATGTTTTTACTATATTGATTCGTTTAGGAGTTAGCGTTGCTTCATTGATATTTTATTTTATTTTTTTAATGAAAATCTCTGCTTATATAATTATTTCGGATTGTCTCGTGTTATTCGATGTGATTGTTATAGTGTGATATAAATAAGAATTTTCATCGAGGAAAAATCCGGAATAGTAAATAGTTTTATTCTCTTCATAGATAATAACCGTTGACTATGAATAGATATATGTGTTAGTGAGAAATCTTTTCTTTCTATATTCGATTAAATATGATTTTGCTCATTATAGCGATAATTAAAAAACGTCTATAATAACATTGGATTTCAATTTGTAACTAATCACTGTAGATATAAATATATATTTGCATTCATCTAATTGATCTTCAATAAACTGAAATAAATATTTTATTAACGATTGTCGATTGACAACATTGTCAAACTTTGTTTAGTGAATTTTTTTGAGAGATAAAAATTGATATTCTTTAAAATGATTCATAGAGATTGAACTGTGTTTATTAACAGTAGCCGTGCTAGAAAAAAAAATTCATTCTCGATCTATCAAATCTTCGAATAATGACAATTGTTCTAAATAGGGTAGGTTTATTTTCGTTATACCCATTTACCTTCCAGAGACGATCGCATCTCAATCATACTAGCTGTTAGACTCTATTCATAGGAACGTTTTCAAAAAGCTGTTAGTGCAATTCCTCTATGATTAGAATCTGATAGACGATGTAGTTCCTGTTGATAATCACGAGAGACATTGTTCTATTCTATCGATGTTAGGAATAGATTTTTTCGCCATCCCTTTTCACTTAATTTTCGAGAAATGCACAAAGGAAATAATTTATATAGTTATTATAACGAGACGCTATTGATATACGATCTCTGATGCGGGAATGAACGGTAGGCACGATATATTGGTAAAGCATCTGCCATGGTCACGTCTGTGCGGGTAGTGACTATCGGGTTGGTTTTGAGTCTGAAAATTTTCGATTCTAAAGATTTTAGTAGGGAGAGCTGAAATATTTCTCTCTATCGTTCAACACTAGTTTTAGATGATGTTTCACTAAACGAAATGTAGATGAAATGCTGAAAACGTTAAGAGAACAGATCTAGTCGTTGAGAGACTCATTCGTTTATTAGATATCGTTTGTTTTATTAGCTTTTGCAAGACCTATTATAGCATCGAAAGATGAGAAAAAAATTCTTCAGTGATTGTTAGTTGCAGCCGTCAGACAACTGTTTGTTCGTCCGCCTCTTTCTTTTTAGGTTTTGTAGACGTCTCTGGTTTTTTTAACAAAATATATTCTTATAAAATGACTATGACAAATAATAACTCTAATCAAAACGATATTTAAAAAGAAAGAGATCAATTTTCTTGTTTTTTAGAATTGTTTTTCAATAGTTTCTATATTATTATCCCCAAATGAAGTAGTTCTATGTCTAAGACTAATTGATCAGCACATTTCAATTCTTTATTATATTGATCAAGATCTCGAATTTGTATCAGAACGTTTTTTACTTTTAACTATTGGGTATGGGTGTGGGTGTGTGGGTGTGTGGGTGTGGGTGTGGGTGTTACTGTTATCATTGACACCCACGCCCACACCAACACACCTGCATCCACACACCCACACTCACACCCACACCCACACCCACACCCACACCCTCCCACACCCACACCCACACCCACACCCACACCCACACCCACACCAACACCCACACCCACACCCACACCCACCATGCACATTTTAATGAAAAATTAGGTCTTAACAAAAATAAATCTAAAGAAAAGTGGATGTTTGTGAATGTTCAGTACGAACGCAATGACTATTGGTATGCCGTTTCCATTCAAAAGAAGGTTCTTTTCCGAGACTTGTAGGCAATAATGCTCGACTACAGGCAAAGCTTCTCCAAAAAGTTTGAGTTCTATTAGTTGAAATATTAATGAGCCTAACAAGAGTTTATGAACTTCGATGCGATTAGCCATGTGGACAGCCGTAATAATGAGGAACAGACTTTCTTTTCAGTCTATCATAATTTCCATTGTGTCTTCAGTGTCTATGTTAGCTGAGATCTGATAACGGAGAAGACTTTTGTCCATTGTTATAACTTGTGAAAATTTTGGACGATCCGATATTATGAAAAATTTGCTTAGAGAAAAAACACATTCAACTGATATTGATACAGCAGAAACACATATGATTTTTCTAGCAAGTTTATTAATAGATTGGTATGAATTAGGATTCGTGCTTAAATTTTCTTCCTACATAAAACCATCAATTTCTTCTGAAAGTCTGATGCTAGACTCTAAATGTGGAATACAGTCAACGACAAAAGTTTAAGCGATATTTTTCAGATTTCATTTCACATTAAAGGGTAGAGACCTGATTCAAATAGTGATATAGATTGTGTGAGAGACCGTCTACATTATGGATTATAGGACGGGACTCTGTCGGTATATATAGATTTTTCATGATTGAAATAATTTTTTTCATCTAAAAACAGATTTATGTGCTTTCCAGTTTTTCGCATTTCCTAAGCAACAGATTTGCACTAAAGTGAGAAGAAAATAAATCAATCGATAGAGAATTTCATGTTCTGTCAGTTTCTACAAATAAATTTTTGTTCTCGGCGTTAACCTTTATTTTCAAAACCTGATTTTATTGAGAATAACCTATTCTCAATAAAATCAGGTTTTGAAGAATTAGAAACCAACAGAACATGAAATTCTTTATCGATTGATTCAATCGATAATACAAATAATTTTAATTAAATAAATACATTTTATGTAGAAAAAAAGCAGTTCATATCTTCATACCTGTTTCATTGCGTGATACATTAATGAAATATGTCCACAAAAATTTTGCAAATCCAAAAGATTATTCAAGTAATGCTTTCTTACTGTGGAATGAAAAGATATTTTAGTACTTATATTTCGAAAAGCAAATTTTTTTCTATGTTTTTTATTTAAAGTTCTTGCAGTTACTGATTTCGGTTCGATTGAACGTGTTCTTACTGATCAACGAGCTTTGTAAACTGCTTTAATGATTTATGAAAAACATTTCAACAGTCTTAAATTTTTTTTTATTTGACTATTATGATCATCTTGATGCTCGTATGAAGAAGGTTTTATTTTCTAGACGATATTCTATAAGTTTATCCTTAATTTCTAGATCACATGGCATATTTAGTAACAAATGAAATTGGCTTAATGAATTTTTTCATTCAACATACAAGTGTATCATTATTGATTAATGAAAATACTGTACCTGATGTACGTGTTGATAGGGAAACAATATTTAATAAACTTCTCCAGAAAGATAATTCTTATTAACATTTAGATGAAGGTAAAGATAATATGCCGACACATGCAAAATGTTCATCGCTCGATTCATAAATTAATATTCTTATTACATTAGGACGTTTAGATTTTGGTACTTGGCAAGGAACGTATTTATGTGAATAACGCAATTGTGCTAGAAGTCGAAATATTGTTGAAATAATCAATGGACAACCGAAAAAAAATCAAAAAGAATTTCTTCGAAAATTTATTTGTACGAGCATATTAGAAATTAAGTTTTTTTTGTTATGGCTGAATGTTTTTTATAGTAATCAATTATGAGTTGTCAAGTTATAGAAGATTTATGAATAAACGAAAATAAGACTAAAGAAATTTTGAAATTATCTTTCTTTGAAAAAAAAACAAAGAAAAGATCAAGATGCAAAATTAACTTAAATAATATTTTTAATGTAATTCGAATTGTCTTTTATTGTAGCTAATGTGAGGAAAGTTATTAGTGCTATTGCTAACAATGGAACCTCTTCAAATGTCTCCTTTCGATTTTTATCATTTCTTGCTTATAGATATTAAATAGAGTTCTAATAAATGGTCTTAAAGGATTCAGGTTTCTATTGAGATTCGATAGTTTAGTCAAGTCTCAATAGGAACTAAAATCTTATCTATAGATAAGAAATCATTGAAATTGGAAGGGAGAAGGTTGATGAAATATTTTCATAAGTTCAGACTGATATTATACTGTCTTGTACAAATCAAAATTTCGTAAATTACCGTTAAACAAACCAATAATAAATGCAGAATTTATTCAATATCATCTAACTATGAATATGGAATTGTTCAAGGTTTCTTTTCTAATCTTTTTCATATAACAAAATATGTAATAATTGGATTAATTCATTTTAACAATATATGGTAACAACTATTGATGATTTTTATCTCGGATATGTTTTGTTTTGTTGTTATTCATATATTCTTAAATTTTCTAAATGAATCAGTAAGAGACGTTCAGTTCTTATTTCCAGTACTTTTCAAAATAAGCGCGGAAAATTGATTTTAATATAAAAACCATATGGAAATAAGTGTATGTTTTTTTGAATTGGGTTGAGTCAAGAGAAACTTAAATATTAGCATTGATGACTAGAACCATAAGATAGTTGTTTTAGTTTCTTTTTGACTTCTAAAATAAATTTAAAATAAAAGCATTACCTAGTCTACAATGATGCAAATGTAAAAGGACGAAATTGATATAAGAGTGCGGATGAAACTCTTGACTTCAATTTGTGTCATTCAATGCGTAATGAGGTACAAAAATTTCAATAACTTTCTGATATATATATTAATCCTTTAAAAAATCCTACATATTCAGAGGTTCTTTCAATCTAATACAATTCACTGAAATCTCTTTTTTTCTCTCGTGACATTTCTTATTTGTCAAAATTACATTAAAATCATTAGTTAAATGAAATCCTAATCGATATCAAAACGTCCACTCATATTGCACGTTTATCCATATCGAATTGGTTGACAAATGTTGCGGAACACATCAGTTATAGTTTAATATGTGACAGATCTCATTCACAATTTCATAGACCCATAAGAATTGGTAAAATTTTAATCAATTGAGGTCATGTAATATATGTTAAGTGTTACCATTTGATGTTCATCGACATTGTCTTCTTGTTGCTTATCCAGTCATAACAGCAGATTCAACAGTTCATACTGGTCTTGAAGTATGAACTAAAGAATACCAACCCAAACAATTGCTTGTTTTCAGAAATTTATACAGTTGCACTGAATCATTTTGGTGAAAAATATTTCGGTAAGAAAGAAGGAAAACAAAGCTCAGATTTAAATATTTTAATTTCTCTTTTTTTTTAAATACTGATTAAGCAAAAAGGATTGATTTATTTCTAGATGAAGTCTTATTTTACAATTTGGACAAATCAAAATGATAATCATTCATGCATTGATCAAGTATTTTTACCATATAATTTTGTTGAACAAAATCCTAGAAAAGATCTGTCAAATAAAGAAAGGAAGATTTCTTGAATGTGATTTTGAAATGATTATCAAATTTAATTTTATGGACAACATGGTCTTCATCGATTACATCGTTATGGAAATGAAAAAAGAAACATTGCAATTCATAACCTAAACGATTGAANCAGGTATTAGTTTTTGCGTGTTTTTCGTCGTATACTTTGTATGTAAGTTTTGTAAGTTTTTTCCAGTAGCCAATTTTTCGACTCTGTCCTGGTCACTCGGCAGAAGACGCGGACCTTGTTTTCCCGAGCGACATCCGAGCCGGTATGTTTTAATGCTAAAGTCGTTCATGGTTAGTTTCTTTCGTCTTTTTGTTTTTACAGACGGCGGTATCTGCACCCCTTCCGTCCAATACTCCGCCTTGTCCGGACTTGTGACCGGCATAGAAACCACAAAATAGTGGTCTCCATGGTGGAGTTATATATATATATAAAAAAAAAAAAACAAACAATAATAACTAAAAAGTAACACTATAACTTTAAAATATGCTATATGCTGCTGTAAAAACGATAATATTAAAGTAATGAAAACGAATAGAGACACTCGAAAAATCGTTCTGCAGTTTTTTCATATTTTACAATAACGAGAAAAAATATCGACTAACGTATCTTATGTTTAAATATGTGCTAGTAAAGCATTTTTTTTTCTTCTTTCGAATGATATATAATTTGTTGTTACCACATACACTCAAAAAAGAAATGACACGAAAAAAAGAAAATGTTCGTATAAAAATAATTTAATGCTGAGATGCTATCGGGTATGTTAACGTGTTTTATTTATTTAAGAGGGAGAATATAAATTTCGTTTGTTTTTAGAAAAACCATGAAAATGTCTTTATTTAATAACAGAGCATAGTCCATAGCTTGTTACTCCTATATTTGAAATTTGTAATGAACAACGAGCATTAAATAAAAAAATTTTTCATCCATATTTAAAATATCTTTCTAAAATGCTGTTAATAGTTCTTCTTAGAACGCCTTGTTTTATAAAATGATTAACTGTCTTTTTGCAAGATTTGACGAACTGACATAAAAATTGTAAATTCATTGGGTAGGTTCTTCTTTTCTCTCTCGTGTCATTTCTTGTCTGAACTTGTGGTAAAAACAAATTACATATCATTCGAAAGAAGAAAAAAAATTGCTATACTAATACATGTTTAAACATCAGGTATGTCAGTTTATATTTTTTCTCGCTACTGTGAAACATGAAAAAAGTGCAGAACGATTTTTCGAGTGTCTCTCTTTGTTTTCCTGACTTTCTAGCTGTGAGTGTTCTGTAGAAATAAGCAACATATGATTCGAAAGAGGAGAACATTTTTTATCGAATGGTACCAAAATTTCTTCATAGAGGCGTATCTATGAAGAAATGTACGTAGATTTCAGGGTGCAGGAGGAGAAGATTGCAAGAATAGCCAAGTCTCTCACACTCCATATGATTGAGAGCTTTATTTTGTAGAGAATGAATTGGCAGACAAACGCTAATTGTGACAACAACATTGTTGATTGTTATACATAGTATATAGATGAAATGAAATGAAACAAAAGTAATCACGACAATGGCAGAAGTACCATTGTTAAAGTAACTTTCAATTAAATTTCTTATCTAAATATTTATATTCATTTTGTATAAAATAAATTTTATATTTACTAGTCACCTTTAAAAGGGCAATTTCTTTTTATTTGTTACAACGTCATCGATAAATATTTGAATAAAAAACATAAGAACAGATTCAATTATCTAGATTCTATTTATACTTTGTATTATCATCTTGCAAAGTTCAGTGACAATCTTTTGTATTGCCTATATTATTGAATTGAATATTGGTAATCTTTATCTTCTTCCTATCATATAACTTTTGCTTATTTTTAAACTGTTTCATATTTAGATCTGTTTGTCATTTACTAGTCAAGAATCATGGTTGACTTAATTTTAGTTAAAAATAAGTGTGTAGTAGACATGTGACAGTTTCGTAAAAGGCCATATTTATCACTAGTCATCTTTACTCATATATGTGAAGAAGTATTTTGTATCGCTTTGATTCATTCACCGTTTTGCAGCCAAAAATTATATTTAATCTATAAAGTCACTGACCTATCAAAATTTATTTGCTCTGTTAAATAAAATAATCTTGATTGAAATTTAAAATTTCCAATTCAATGAGAACCGTTGTAGTTCTCGTTCTATGAGTCATATATGGACGTATTTCACTTGAAGATCCATTTATAGATTTAATATTTATCTGGCTATTCATAAAAATAATTAAAAAGTCATCAACGTTCAAACAGACTTTTACTATATTAGTGACTAGCTGTGACAATCTTCGGCAGGATTTCATATAAATTATTAAACAACATCCTGGATAGAGACTTTTTAGAGAAAATAATTTAGAGGACTTATGTAGACAACAAAACATGAGTGGTGTGTTTGTGACGGTAGAAATCATTTTTTAGTCTTTCCTTACGATAGATTTTTCTTGAACTTCTCAATATGCAACTTTCGATGAATACTGTCTATTAGTAGTATTTCAAGTATCGAAGTGGTTGCTACTAATAAAAGTTAAAAATAGCTCATGAATAATACTGATTATTCGATAAGGTTTTATGTAACATAGTTACTGTGTGTAAATCAGAAAACTCTTTTCAATAAAATATCTGCTGTAACAGCGTTTTTTTTAGCGTTGGCTGTTACTATGGCTTTTGAAGTACTATTTGCTATTCTTTTTCTGGTAAATATAATTAAAAGGAGCAATAATTGACGCAACAATATTGGGATATTTAAGCAAAAAAAAGCAACCAAATCTAAAATTTTCCAATACTTATAAAACTGGATTGTATAAGAATTTTCATTAAGTTTCTTCAATAGAAATTTATTATTAGACATGTATTCATAAAGAGGAGCCACTTTCAAAGCATAACATCGAATGTAGATAAATCATGTAACATCAATAAAACCTCGATACCAAATAGAAAAAGCTTTGAATCTTATTTACTATTTATCTTTGTCCTCCTGGAAATTTCTCAAAAATTCCATCATCGACATCCCAGTGCATAAAAATGATGATAAAAAGAAGGAGATCCTAAAAAATGATTTATGTAAAATTGGAGCTGGTGTAATGATTCAGTCAAAAATGGATGTGTGTTTGAGTATGAATGATGTATTATTCTATACGTCCACACCCACCCACATTTCTTCCTACTCTAAGCAAGTTCAACACTTGTTTCAGATTGTGTTGTACTAAAATTTAGGATGGATCTCTAAGAATATTTTTATGACATCGTCCTCAAGCGACTACACATTCCGGGCATTTCTGGCACTCAGTTTCAATAAAGATGGTTTGAAAACTTTTGAAACATTGGTTAGCCCACTTCATTCGATGCATGCTTCAGATGGACTTCATTGGCAAATCATACATCATTATCATGTTACATTGCAATTCTTAGGCAATATTGATATATTTCTCTTGAAACAAATAAGGACACAAATGAAAACGTGGACTCATGCCTCAGCACCATTTCAACTATCATTAAACACTATAACTGGTTTTCCATCACCCCGATAAAACAAGATACATTGAGGCTACATTGAATGATTCTGATGATCGTCTCAGAAGACTTGTCGATCAAATAGTTAGATATTTTGCAATAGTGGTTTTCATATTCAGGTTAGACCCTGTATTTCACATGTCACATTAGCTAGGTCTAACAAATCTTTTGATGCTTCAAAACTCTTATCGGTGTATGCAATATTACCGTATGCACTACCGCTGATATCCACTACGTTAACACTCTATCGATCCGATTTAATCAGAGTGGAAACAATATACACTCCCATGGTTCAATAGAAGCTTAACAATTCTATAAAGTCGTTCAGACTCGAGCAAGCCTCAGAGCGCAAGCAACATAAAACAAAGAAAAGTTCTTGCAAAAATAAAATAGACAAATAACTCTATTATAAAAAGAACATAAATTTTTAATAATAATGGTCAAGGAGGTATGAGTGTGGGTGTTTGAAATCCATACACCGGCACCCACACTCACTTCCAATTTCTAAGTAGTAGTTCGTTTATCAATAAAAGTCAGTGTATTACAATATAATTATAACCGTGCAGTGAATTGTTGTGGGCTATTTTCTGATATATATTTTAGACCATCTAGTATTCTGTTGCGGTTTACATATCATTAGTGTGCTGAAGATTGGTTTGTAGGAAAATGTCAAACACAGTTAGTCATTCAGCATCAATTGTTATTGCTGCAATCAAAGCTGAACGGGCGACAAAATCAACAAAATCAAGAACCAATTCAATCATACGAGAATTCGCCTTGAATACATCTGCTCATGGTTTGCCTAGTATTGCACGCAGTGACAGTAAACACAACTGTATATTTTGGACTGTTTCTTTTCTTATTTTCACTGGAATTATGATCTTTTTCGTCACTCAGTCAATTCGAAATTACTTTGAATATCCGACACAAACGTTGGTATCTATTGTTGTCGAACGATCACAAATATTTCCTGCGGTTACAATTTGTAATTATTCACCCGCTCGTTGTGATATGTTTATAAAGCCTTTCTTAAATTACACAAATTCTATTCACATAACTAGCACAAATGATACAACAACATTTACTATGGCACAAGCTGTTAAGATTTACGACTTTTTACGCAATAAACTCAATGCAAATGAATCAATTGACGAATATTTCTTTTCACTTGAATCAATGCTAATCGAATGTTTCTACAATAATAAAATATGTTCGGCCAATGATTTCACTTTTTTCTTGTCGTCTAAACATGGTCGTTGCTATACGTTCAATGCAAAAACAAAACACTCGAGCAACCACAACAAGACCCGAAAAACCGATGATGATGGTGGCTCAGGAAAACTTATATTACGGCTCTATGCAAACAGTGATCTATATGTCCCGTTTATTTCAGGAGGTTTACTTCATTGATGTTTTCCGAGAGAATCCATTTTTTTCTTTTTTTGTCTTTGAAATAGATGCATCAGCAGGAATGATTGCTATGATTCATGATAATACTCAATGGCCACTCATTGATGTTGCTGGTATAGAACTTGCATCAGGAAGGAAGCATAAACTTGCTTACAAAAAGAAGATAATCCAGTTTTTACCTCCTCCTTATACAGAGTGTACAAATGAAGTACCGTTTGAGATGCAAGCAATGTTCGATCGATATGGAGATGCAGATTATAGATATTCACAAGGCGTCTGTAACTTACTTTGCACTCAGACATATATGTAAGTTATATCAAATTATAAGTATTGTACTGATTAATTCAATATCTTTCGCTTAGCTATGAACAATGTAAATGTGTAAATCCACAAGAATGGTCAGCTCGATTAATGGCTGCTCCTAATGGAAATACAACTTTTGAAGCACCACTTTGTAATTATGATGATGAATGCTACTTGGAAGCTACTGTTAGATTATCCAGTTCAACACGACTTTGGAATCAGTATTGTTCACATTGCACTCACGAATGCTCCAAAGTTGATTTTATAATTACAACATCATCGGTATCAGCTCCATCTATTGAATATGCGAATCTATCTAAGCCAATTGTTGAATCTCGACGTAAACAAATGCCTAAAAACTGGTCAACGAATTGGCTAGCAGAGTTTCAGAAGAACTATGTTGGGTTAGAAGTTATTTGTCAAGCAACTGAAGTAGAAAACTACATACAAGAGCCTTCAATTAGTCCAATTGATGTTCTTTCCAATGTAGGTGGCCATACTGGATTATGGATTGGAATTAGCTTTTTGTCACTGATGGAGGTCGTTGAAATGCTCTATCGTTTTCTTCGGTATCAAATACATGTCATGAAACAAGCTATACAAAACAAAATCAAGAAAGAACAGCAAATTAATGGATTCACAAAGCAATGAATAGAATTTCGAATTCATTCATTAGACTCTTGTAATATGAAAAATTCCATTTATGCATCTGTGTTTCAATTAATAAACGAGTGTGGATGTGAGTGTGAGCATTAGAATCATGGAAATCCACATACCCATATCTTCAGTCCCGCAGGACTATACCTCGCATGAAAATGTCCACTGAATCGATCCCTGAGTGTGTAGATATGATTGTAGAAACGGAAGAATTCAGGCAAACCCATACCTATACCCAGAAATAATTCTTTGTAAAAGAAATGAAAAAAAGTATTGCTTTCTTTTAATTTTATAACAGAATAGTTTCATAGAGCTTTAAAATCAAGAAAAAGAAGTTATCAGCATGACTAGTTTACATGGGTAAGAATATATAATAGTCTGAATTATGGTTTGACAAGCAGATTCACCATCATACCTACATTTACACAGCTTTTATCAGACCATGCACATTTACTTCAAGTATATATATATATGTTGCATATTCTTGCTGATAACGTTTTTAGTGTACGTAGATGTCAGTATAAACCTTCAATTTACTCACATATCCTTATAACCTATGTTAAGAGAATAAATATATAGTGTAAGTCAGTTCGAAACTAATTTGAATTTATTGTATTAAAATATCATTGATAAAAATTCACCGATATTGTCTGATGACATTTAGATAGAAAAACTAGTTACTTGATAAATTTATCAATCGTTTGATTTTTATTGTGTTAAAATGAACTATTCGTCATGAAATAGGACAAAATGGCTGGCAAAAATCTCTATGGAAAAATAATTGAGCACGAATGATTCATGTTGTATGTTTTATGACAGAGTTGGTAAATACCAAGTAACCCAGTCAAGAAAAAAATTGACTCATATTGTTTTTTCTTTGCGTACTGTCTTTCATTTGTTGCGAAAACAACACATCAGTGTAGTTAAAGAAATTATTGTGCGCAATTCAAACATGTCCGCCCCTACGAATATATCTTTTTTCACACTTCCTACCGAACTTTTTTATTACATTCTTGACCGTCTCGATCTAACGGACATTCTATTTTCATTTCGGAATGTTTGTAAACAATTTCATGCAATTACTGACAATTACAATCGATATACAATCAATTTCAATGATGAATTATCAAAAACTGATATTCGTCGCATATTACGAATTATTCGACCGGAAAATATTATCTCGCTCAATTTTTGGTATAAACGACTTTTATCAAGTAAAATTAACTTAATTCACTCTCACATGTCCATTGATCGATGTATTCATCTTCGTTCGTTGAATCTTTATTGTTTGATTGAACCCAAACTTAGCATGATAATGCATCAAGCAATGGCTATATCAACACTTGAGTCGCTATTATTAACAGAAAAAGATCCAAAATTCATGAATACCGAGACAATAGCTGTCCTTTTATCGATAATCGCACTTCCCAATTTGCGTCGACTTGTTCTAAATGTTGATATCTTGACAATGAGTAAAATAGATTGGCCAAATCCATGTGCGCTACAAGAGCTAGTATTGAGATCATGTTCTCATAAACAACTGCATTGCATTCTTCATCATTCACCTAATTTACGAGTTCTTGTCTTGAGTAACTGCTACATGAACGAAATCAATCAAACAGTTCTATCGGTCTCATATGGGAAATTAACTTCATTGACATTGGACAGTGATGATATGTCAATAGATGATATTGAACCGCTTCTTTCGTTATTTCCTTCGCTTACGTATCTGAAATTAGTCAAGTACCGAACTTCTTTCGATTTTCTCAAAAAATTCTCTCAATGGGAAAAATTCATCTCTCGTAATCTATCTGTACTAAAAGATTTTGAGTTTTATATATATGGTGATGATTACAAATATGAAGTTATTGAAAATATTGAATCAATTATTGATGCGTATTGTACACCTTTCTGGCTAGAAAATAAACGTTGGTTGGTGACTCTTCAATATACTAAGAGTGATTTTAATTCGAATATCATTCTGTATTCATCGAAAGATTTCAGTTTTAATCTTTCTAATAGCAGTTTCGAAGACAAAATAACATATGCTGTTTCTACGACAAGGAATCGTGATGCAACACGAACAAAAAGTATATGGCGTGCTCGCTTAAGTTTGGCTAGAATGTTAAGGGAAATCTCACATAATCAGGTAAATATCAATAAAAGCTTAATTGTTTTTGAAACATTTGTTTTGAAGAGCTTCAAGAAAAGCATTTAACAGTCGTGAATATAGATGAAATCCAGGAAATGCCAGCTCTTATGAGTTTTTCGGAATTTCAGTTTTTTTTCACGTTCTAAATAAATTATTACTGATTGTGGAAAAATTTAGAATTTAAGCATTGCATTAATACGTTAAAACTTCTCTTGTTATCTTCAAAAATTCATTTCTTTTTCATTTGAATATATTTTGTAGTGGTAAAGAATGACATTATAGATAATCTAGTTAAGAAAAGTACATTATAAATGAGAGAGAGAGCACTCGGTAATCTCTTCAGTTCTTTCTGAATTTTGAAGAAAATATTTCGAGATTTTACGGATTTCCCAGTTCCATATCTGGCTATTCTTGTCAAATATGTAAGAATACAAATGGTTAGATGGTGAACAGAAATGTTTTTCATAGATCGACTTTTCAAACATCAATTCTGCGTTAATAAAGATATTTTGGTCACAAGTTGACATCTCGATAAAGATTCGTTGCTGCTAGTTAAATATTTAGAAACATTACTACTCGATATTTTTGTCAAAAAATCAAGTAAATCGTATTTAATTTAGCAAAAGAATAGCAGAAAATCATACTAAAACATATAGTACACGATGAAAATCGACAAATTTCATCTATCTCTTTTTATTATAATATTTTAACTTGTTTGATAGAAGATTCTAGAACATGAAACTGGAAAAAGTACTATTGTCTATGTTTTCTTCTAGTCTGAACAACAAACTTATCACAATCTTTACAAAGTTACTAAACTCACACTAGACATCACCGATCAGTTGCCTTCCAATTCTCTTGAACTTCTTTTGGCTTTAATCGATTGTTCACGTCTCACTGATGTCGATTTGTTCATTTCAAAAGATACTGGTCGATGGCCCAGTCTAATTCACAATTTACTTGAACAAGCGTTCAATGTTCACACCCTCAATATATCATATAGTGATGTATTAATACCAAGAATAAATGACATATATTTAACGATATCATGCCATATTGATCATCTAATAGTTCAAACGAAAAATGTTCATATCATAAATGCTATACTCAAGAATTTCAAAACTTTATCTAGTATTACATTGGTAGATCCTTGGTGTTGTTCACGTTCTTGGACCAAGATTATTGAACAACTGAAAACACAAGACAATATGTTTTCACTAACAGATAATAATCAATGCCTTCAGGTGTGGTTCAATAAGGACATGAGTCAATTTTCAGAAATAAGAAATGATCACAAACGTATGAAACTATCTCATCTTAACTATGATTTGCAATAAATTTCATTAGCATTGTCCTGCTCAATACGTCTAACACTTTTTTAGTTTTATGTAATTTAGGAGATACTCAAGAAATGAAAATCTATCTATTCATGATACCTTCTTTCAATTCAAAAATGCTTAGGTCGATCACATTAAAACTATTTTTTTCATTCTCATCTTAGCAATTTTGCTATTAAAATGAAATGTATTATCCAATGATATAAAATTGAAAAGAATAATTTAAATAAAATTTAGCGCGTATTCACTCGGCGTATTCTGCAAAACGTATGAAAAGTTGGAGTATAAAAGGCAACTGTATCATAGGATCATGAATACAGATTAGAAATAAATATAAGAAAGTATAAAAATTTGATCTCTGTTCATATTAAACTTCTAGTGGTGTCATCTACTTTGTTTCATCAAGATAATTTATAGCAATCACATTAAAATTCTCTTCTGAATAGAGATAATTGCACTTAAGTAGCATAATGCCACAATAAAACTAACATTATCGTAACGAATTAGTGATCAAACAAAATCTGCATTCTGTTAAACTTAAATTAAAGCACCTTTTTTTATTCAAACTTCCTGTCAGTTCAGTCTCAATTTCTCCTCGTGATAGTAACCGTTATTGATGACAACATTTTTTTATATATTGTCTCACCAAAAATTTTCATGCTAGTCATCTTGTTTCCTGTATTCCAGAATCTGGTATATAATATAATTATTCTGATGTCTAAGAAAAACAATGCTTCGGTTTTCATCAATTAACGTTTCCAATTTTGCCATCATTCGAATAATATCACTCTTTAATTCTCAATCAACTTAACTGTTTCAAATGTCTACTGATAGGATGTTATCGTGTGTATTATGAAGAGAAACAATACGTAGATTGTATAGATCTCTTTATACAAAGTATAGATTCGTATTAGTGACCAATATCTGAAAATTCCTGAGAATATCAGATTCATATCAATGTTAAAAGTGTGGTAACAATAGCACTATATTTTGTTTTAAGGACTATGACTTATTCTTAGTTCACCTTCGTGTACATGTTATTCTATCACTACCAAACAATTCAAATTATTCAACAATGGATAGTTTCAAAAACTGACTACTTTATTATTTCATTTAATACAGCGAATACAAATAAATGAGACTGAACTAAAGATAGATTTCATGATAGGAAACTATTTTCTATGAATACAAATATCTTTTGTGGTTTATTTCATTCTTCGTCATCTTCAGTTGATTGAGGAACAAGCTCAAATGGATGTCCATGTCCTTTCTTTTCGCATACAGAGCATATATTATATTATTCACATGTTGAACAAATATATCTCTGACCAATAAAAGGCTTCATTTGACATCCATCACACGAGATACATGGTCATTCGAATTGTTCTGGTAAAGAAGTCGGTAACTTTTCTCCTTGTGCCCATGTTTTGAATACTTCGACTCCTTTTGTTAAAAAAATATCATCACGATCATTATGGGATAAAACTGTTCCAGCAGATGAAAGAATGAATAATGATGGAATAACTTTATACAAAAGGATATGTGATTATTACTTAAAATCAATAATTTAAATTAAACTCACCAGAAACTCGAAAATATGCTTTGAGAAGGGCACCTGCATCTAATGGAGCAGCAAGCCAAGGCATTGCTGCACGATATTTATTGAATGATTCCACATCTCGATCACATGATATGAAAACAAGACGAAACCCATTAGAAGTTGTTTGTATTTCTTTGTAGAGTTCTACTAATCTTAATGAAAGCTCACGACATGGTAAACACCAATGAACCAGGAAGTTAAATCCAATACTTTTTACATCATTTTCCCAAAGTGTTTTCGTTTCAACTTTTTCATCATTATTAGAATTAATTAAATAAGGAATCGATGTAAAGAGTTTTTCTAATGAATAAGTTCTTTTAGATGTAAGATATTCAGAAAGAGGATGTTCATGCTTATTCTTTGGTAGACATGTTTCACATAAATTAAACTCACATTCTGTGAGTGTACAGTCATGACGTGAACCAATCAACGGGTTCATATTACAAAGTGAACAAGTAATACCTTCCCAAATATATTCACCTTCATGTGCTTCACGTGACCAAATGAAACCTTTGCCTTGTGCCCACGTACTTCTTCAAACACCATAAGATGTGATTTTTTGCCATATAGAAGAAAGAACAATCAAAACTGGAAAACCTGGAATATTGAATTTGTGAAATAATTTTTTTTTGGACGATCTTTATCTTAATATGATATATAAAGATCTCAAAATGACATCTATTCGCATTATTGTTTATTGCAAGGCGTGGATAGTTGATTGAATGTATTTTATGAAATATAATCTAGATATACTGTTAAAATGATTATATATGGTAAAGAATAGTTTTTTTCTGCCTTCTCGCTCTTTATCTCCTAACAAGTCATAGCAAATGCTAGTCAGGGATAGACATCATCATATCCAACATTTTCAGCCTTGAACCTGTTTGAGTTCGAGTCCAATCTAGTGAATTCTCATCAGAGCGTATCATGATAAATTGTTTAGTTATTGCTCAAATAATTAATGTTTCTAATCATAATACAGTATTTTCTCTATATTTGGTTAATATTTCTTCTCATTATTTTAATACGAAAGTGACATTCAACACACCCAAGTAAGGTAAAACCTTCCATGGTATTTCTTTGAAATATTCATCGAAAAAAGACTGATCGTTTTCATACAAAGCAAAAACAATTTCAAGCTTGTCTTTGAGTTCATCATTAGTTTCTTTGAAAATTTTAGCTAAATGTGATGTAAAATTCTGACATTGTGGACATTCATGAGTTCCAGAACATAACAATCAAAGCATGGTCTTTTATTTCAATTAAATAAATAACTTAATAACGAGAAATACAGTGCAACAGTTTTGCTATTAAGTTGATGCGTCCGTATTTGAGTTGATTCATTTCCAGAGTCATTATGTTGAAGAAGTTTCTCACGTAATAATTCGCTGAAATTCATCTCTACTTTTTGCTATAAACGAGTGAGACTAATGTAATAGTACTTCGTATTATAGAACACGAAAAAGGGGTGCCATCGATTACTACAGAATTGCGTAATACAAGCATACAATGCTCTTAGAACAATTGTTTTTTTTTTCATTTTTGATAGCTTATTCACGCATATTTTTGCTTTCCATTGTACAACAACACACCCCAGTAAATTGTTTTTATTAAAAAAACTGTTGCCATTTAAGAACAAAATTCTTCCGTAGATTCGAACAGCAATGGTAACTTACGTCAGAATAAATATTTTTATTTCGTTATTCATAAGTTAATGCAATAGGTGAATCAACTTAGAGCGATTTCTTAGTAATTATGATTGTTCGAACACTCATCCAAGAAAAAGCTACAAAATATGGAATATGGCAAGAAAAGAAGAAGAAATGACACGAAAAATAGATGCCGACATTCATAAAAAGTAAGAATGAAGTTGTAAAATCTAACAACTATATTAGTTTGGTTACCTAGTATTCTAATTTTTTACTACTGAGAATACAATTTGTTGTAATCAATAATAATTATTATTTTAGATATTATTAATATCATAAAACTTACAAACTATTTTACATGACATTCATGTTCAATAATGGTTACAAATGCTGCAATAAATACATATGATCAACCAATGGATTTGTTTATAATTTGCGTAAAATGCTAGAAATATGAAATTAAAGTAGAACATTTTTGTTTAATAATATTTGTTTAGATAGAATATTACGAACTATTTAGAATATGTTTGTTCGTTTTTAAACATTAATATTCAGATACCCAAGTAATTTATTGACAAGTTTTGAAAAATTATAGTAAATATTGAAATTCATATTCAATGACTTTATGCAAATCTATTAGTCAATGAATCACCAAGTTATTAATTGTAGGATCTAGGTTTTATGTTTCAAAAGAATTGAAGCGTTAAGACCGTTTGTTTATCAATGAGACAATTTCAAAACTGCATTTTCGTTCATTCATTTACTATTTTTCACGGATTCTCATTTATTCATAATTGGATTTCTCCAGTGAAATTAACCATTGTTCTTCGCCAATTGATACTAAAAAGGATGTTCAATAAAATTCTATCAATAATCCGCCAAATTCATTACATATGAAAGAGCTGTTAATGCATTTTCTTTGGGATTGAAAATGTGAAACACGAACTATTTGTTGTTTCTAAAGACACAGAAATTCTTTGATTTCATGTACCATTGCAATTCTTTAATGTATATAGATGGAACACATACTGCGTACTCTTATATACAACATTAATTTAATAACATGGGTTTTCTATATAACAAAAACAACAATCAACCAAGAAAACAAGCATGCAGGTATCTGTGAAGCTACTTACGGGAAAACTTAGATCTTATAATGTGTCTTCTACTCATACTATTCGCAGTCTTGCACGTCAAATTCGAAACGAAGAGGAAATTTCTTGAAAAAAAGACATTTCGTATTTGCTTCAAAAACAATTAAAACATAATAAAACACTTTTAGATTACAAAACCAAGGTGAGCTTTATTGAGTCAGCGGTTAGACTCGTTCAACGAACTTATTATAGTAGATTTTTTCTTCCTTCATTTATTTGTTTATCGGTTCATCTATGATTACAATACAGTAAATTATTATTATTTGATGATAGCAAACTCTCTGGTTAGACCAATAATCCTAAGAGAACTATAATTAATTGTATCGAAACTTGTGAAGATGTGTTGGATTCAGTGGAAAATAATGATGCAGAATATTTTCAAGATCATGCATAACGACAACAATTTCAAATAATTTATCATTTTATAGAGTGTATTTTTATATAAAGAAGTTATCTTACGTTAAGCAATGATTCAAACAATTTAATATTCGATCAATTATAGAATGATTCTCGATCCTACGTCTGTTGATAATTAGAAATTAAACGATCAAAATAATATTGGTTGAATCACTTTTTTACATGAAACACGAGACTCTGTTTGTTTTTATCAATTGACTTCGATGAAAACAACATTTAATATACTTAATAGGTAATATATTAGTAAATATATTTATATTTCTGTCTTTGAAACATAATGAATTCATCTAAATCACAGAATTTATTCAATCATTTGTATTATTGTAATATATGCAAATAAAAAAAAACAATAAAACACTATATAAAATTTAGAACTTTTCATTTATGAAAACGTTTTAATTGTATAAATAAATTTATTTATTTTAAAATACCAACGATATTTTGTTCGGTAAATGATAAACATATTGTTAAATCAAGATTGTTGTAAAGATCTTCATTTATGTCCATTATGTAATGTACAACTTAAAAATAATACATCGGTTTGTCAACCAATAATTGATGCTATTCGAGAAGCACGAAATAAACTTGAAGATTATTATTTCTCATCTCATCTTAAAAATAAAATAATAATTATTTCAACATAATAGCAAATGGTGTGCAGTGCTATAAGTAGAATATTTCATGTAAAAGATAAATATTCTATTAAATGTGCAATTATTAAAAATACAAATGAAAGAGAAGAAGCATTAATTCATGAAATAGCTTTATCGCGTCCATCATCACATATGTTAAAATACAGTTTATGATGGCATTGTTATGGAATATATTAATCGACCATCATTTACTACAGCTTTTGCTAATAATTGAACAATTATTCACAATTTATCTATAGAAAAGAAGCACTTAGAAATAGCATTAAGTAGTTCAGAACGTGTTCATTGTGATTCTAAACCAGAAAATGATCTTCTTTATCAAACTTCAAATGATAGTTATATATCAAAGAGAGTTGATTTTGGTCTTAGTTTTCAAATCGTAACAGCATCAATGACATTGGTTAAAAAATCAACTGATACTGTTGGTCATGATGCATCTGAAGTTATTGTAGATAATAAAATATCAAATAAAGTCTCAAATATTTATGCATTAGCATTTATTCCTTATGAACTTTTAAGAGTAAAATGTTTTTTTTAATAGGTGTGGGTGTGGATTTGGAATTAAAGGAAATATACTCATATGCACACTAACGCCGACAATCACACACCACACCTATACTCCCATACCCACACCCAGATCCACACTCACCCACACCCTTCCTGGATATGTGACACGTCCTCAAATTACATATATGTAATGCTCAGTTATGTCTTAAACAATTACTGACAATATTATTCAGTAAAGAATAGATACTGTACATTTTTATGAATCAATAGAAATGCTGATCTATTATTTATAGCTGATGTTTTATTACTGCTATTGTTCGGTGAGTAGTTCATGATCGTTAGATTTTTTTCAGCCATGGCAGACTTTTTGTACTAAAGGGCGATTCGAATTCTCGGTCACTTTGAACTAATTCGACAAGATGGTCCCACATTTCAATTGCTTGCTTTTGTGAGTCAGTACCCTGAATTGAGTAATGAATACGTATTCCAAAGAGTTAAATATTTATACGCACCCAACACCACTGTTGAAAGGATCTATCTGACCAAAGATCAGGATTGGCACATCCTTTATCGATATTGATCAGTATTTCGTCTCGTTCGCGTTGTTTTTCTCCATCATGGAGGTGTAAAACTTGGCGAGTTTTGGTTGCAGACATCTGTACTATTTCGGCTCGTTCTTTGCGCACTAGCTCATATACCTTTAGTGCTATGTTAATTTGTTCCGTACTATCAATCATAGAGAGGCAAGCACCTAGTACAGCTCCATCCTCAACAGCTTGAGCAACACCCTGGGCAACATAAGGTAGCATCGGATGAGCTGCATCGCCTATTAATGCCACTTTTCCCTCGATCCAGGTAGGTAGTGATGCGTGATCGCATAATTTCCATTCCAAAACTTCTCCGTCTGGAACTAAACCGAGTAACCTTCTGACACGAATGTTTCAGTTTTTATAAAACTCCACCATTTTCTTTTTATCACCCTTCATGCTCCACGATTCTTCGGTACCAGTTTTATCAGGATGTATTAGGACCAAATTGAGAAGCTGATGATTTCTTATAGGATAACCCATAATGTGCCCATCTGGTCCCATCCAACGAAGTCCAACAGGATTCTCCAATGCTTCGATCAAACTAGAGTCTTTGCTACAATATATATTTTCAGCAGAAATAATCACTCTCCATGCCGCATCACCCGTCTCCCTTATTTGGTCAACTTGATCATGAAGTGTCAACATTTTTTTTTCGAATTGTCGACTTGACACCATCAGCCGCTATTACCACATCACTTTGCAACCATTGTGAGTAACCATTGATCTTAATTCGAGCATTCTCGAAATCAATATCATCGATGTGTGATCCTGTTCGAATTTGGGCACCATAGCCCTCTGCTCCTTTTCTCAAGACCCTTTGGAGGTCAGCACGGTGTGCAACCCATATAGGAGCCCAATGTGTCTGCTCGACATGGGTCATAGATACTCGAACGAGCTCGCTATCGTTAGCATATCGCCGCAGAGACACAGCATACAAAGGCACTGCTTGAAGTAGTAATGAATCCAAAATGTCCCATCGATGCAGAAGTCGAGACATATTTGGTCCTCTCTGAATACCTGTGCCTACCTGTGGCAAAAAAATAAACAAACATTGGAACTCTTTTATTATGAATCAAGACAATAAACCTAACACTATCTTCTTCAAGTTGAGTAGCAGCTTCGTATACAACAACCTTCATACCAGCACAGGCACAGGCCTATCTCGAAATAGACAAAGTCCTCATGATTAATTGAATCTAATTTAATCGACAAGAGTAATATCAAAAGACTTACCGTGGCAGCAGCAAGATCACCAATACCAGTGCCTACAATAGCAATGTGAAGGGGTATTTTTGCTTTTACGTAATCAGTCGATGCCATTCACGACATTCACTTATCAAGTTCGTGAGAAAATCCAGAAAACTCTGTCTTTTGAAGTAACTAAACTTGCAAAATCATGAATGGTTAATGAAACACACTAGATTTCATGTCAGTTCAAACTAATTCATAATAAAGTTATGATTGATAGAAGTTAGAGATTCTTACTATAATAAAGTAATAATGAAACGATAAATAAAAAATGATATACATTATAGGAGTAACTCAGATTGACTAATAACACATGTGTAACAAAAAAATATTTATGGTCGGTAAATATTCTTCGAATAACTATCGAGATATATAGAAATGCACATATATCTTGATAAGGTTATGGGCAAAAAAGTGTGAAGTGCTATCAGCTATATACATAAGCTGTTGCAGTGTACAATGTTCACAACAATACCACACAATAACTTTATTCTTGTACAAAATGAGTTCCGTGTTGGTTAGTTCTCTGACGTAACTCAACGCTACACTGTATATCCAAGTACAACTTCTCTTGAACTTGGGGTGTGAGTGGAAATCAATACTACAGAGACACATTCACACCAAACTGGCCCACTCACATGGACACCCGTACCAACATACACTCACACTAAAAGAAAACTAATGAAAGCATCATATATGAGTTTTTTGCTAGAATATAACTAAAGTTGTTTCGACGGTATTAACAACAAATCTCAGCACAAGCATTTTGATTATTTACAATAATAATAGAAAAAGGGCAATGTGTAATAATTACAGTTAGAAATTATTCATTTTATAATTAGATTAAAAAACAAATGTGAAAAGGTATGGGTATGGGTGTGAGTCTTCTGTGAATGGACATCCACACCCACACCCACCCCATGTTGTACAATATAAGAAACTTTTAAAGGTATCGAATTTTGTAACGAATTCTGAACCTTTTTGTGTTTTGTACTAAACCCTAAAAATCCCTACCGAACTTTTAAAAATGACTTTTAAATGGATGACAACCATTGTGAAGAGATCGACGGTTTAGAATTCGTTGCAAAAAAGGTTTGGTATGGTACCTTTTTTTTCAAATGAGAGGCTGTGTGGTGTGGCTGCGGGCATCAGCAGTAAGAATACATATGTACTCAGCCATCCGCATCCACACCTACTACTGCCACTACATTCTAAATATTTTCTATATAGAACGCACATTATATAAATACCCCTTTATGCGTGGAAACTAACCGATAACAATAAAAGAAAGAAGATGATAAAAAAAAAGAAAACTCTTATCTATAATATTATGGGCTCTGTTATAATATAGAGCAAAAGACACATGCTTTCACTCCATACATTTTGAAGACTAATAGTAAGATCGACGTTGATGTATTTCTCTTATGAATGATAGTGATAAAAGGCAATTTGAAGTAGTATCCATAACAAAATTTTGTAGCACATTATAGCACGTCAACAATATGATTTATTGATTCTGTATAGTAAAGAATTTGGTAAATTTTTAGCGTTGAACTCAAAAAGTTTCTGAAAATTTACACTATCTTGACATTGAAAAATGACTTCCACGAAGCAGCAGCTTAAGCTAGATCTCACTTTAATAGAGAAATAACACAAGGTATTCAAGAACTGACCCGGACATATTAGAACAATAATAAAAAAGCCTGAAACAAAATGCTATCGAACATGGAACGAAATGGTTATGATGAGGAAATTTTGAGAAACATGAAGACAAACTTTGGCGTATTTGACACCATTTCATGCTCATATCAGCCTCGTTCTCGTGCCATAAAGAATGCAAATGGTCATCGTTTACTTATTAATCATATTCACTAAACCTTCAGTGATAAATAGTATTTGGTGACATTCCTCAGTTTAAGCGAGATCTAGTGTGAACTACTTCTTGGAAGTAATTTTTCGATGTCAAAATGGTGTTAAATTCCAGAAATTTTCTAAATTCAGCACTAAAAGCTTACCATACCCTTTACTATTTAGAATCGATAAATTCCATTTTCGATGCGCTTTAATTTGAAACATAGCCACCATGGTTGAGTGGTTACGTTTTTCGGCACGCACCCACAAAGTACTGTGTTCGAACTTCCGTAACATCACCCATGGAATGACTCTGGACAAGTCACTAACGGCTAAGTTGTCTCTAATGACTCATTCCACATGAGTCATTCATACTGATTATATCTTTAGCCAGTATGTTGGATGGAAGAGGGTGCAGATACCGCCGTCTGTAAAAGGAAAAAGACGAAAGAACCTGGCTGCATGTGGAAACTATTAATAATAACCGCGACCGGCCCCAACGGGCGATAAGCCTATGGGATGTTATTATTATTATTATTATTATTTAATTTGAAACACAAATTTCTTATGGATTCCATTTGAAATCCCAGCATTATTCCACTGGAAAAATATTTTTACGTACCCTGTACAACTAATGAGTCAATACAAAACTATTTCTATTTTAAAAAAAAGCTTTTTGTTTCGATTTAGTGCTACGATAAAAAGGCAAATATTAGAATCAAAGTATTCTAATTGGGCTGTGCTATCGATTGATTTACAGAAAGCTTATTTACTATGCAAAAAAAAATGATTCAATATAGTTTTCATTCTTATCTAAAGTCAACTCAATTCTGATCGATGCTATAGAACATGTTTCAAGTGAGGAAGCTGGAGAATGGACAAATGCTGAACACGATTAGAAAATCATTATTAAGCATACCTTTGATGTATTTTATTATACTGTGTTAGAAGAATATTTGAAGTGGAATGCAAAACAGGTCCTATTACTCTGTGGCGTAGTCGTCAATGTTTGTGTTTTGATGAGCTTACACGGAGCTTTTGGACATGGGTATCAAACGTTGATTATTAACGATTGTATAGCCGACAAAACTAAAGAAAGTCAAGAACATTTCCTCAACACTTTTGGCTTTATGTTCAAAACGACTTCTTCAAATCGATTATTGCAAGACTTAGATCAAATACTAGCATTGATTTGAGTAGTATCTTTTTCCAACAAGCACAAACAATATAGAACCACAATCAAAGTCTCAGTAGAGGCATTGATCACACATTATATTATAAATGATAGTTTCAATTGTTTCTTCTATTTTTTTTATGAAAAGATACTTTTATGTGATCCTTT